CCGAGTCGAGGCCAAAAAAACTTAGCCAGAGAAAAACCGAGCCATAGGCTCTTCTAGGTAAAATACCTAGAATATCTCGTACAACGAATGTTAAAATAAAGGTAGAAATGTAATATCACTATATTGTACCATTTTCACTATAAATAGGGAGATCATTTTTTAAGATAAAAAAAAATATTTTATTGTTCATTATTATCTCTCTCTCTCTCTCTTTGCTTATGCTATATTCTTTCGGGTGTGATTTACAGACAAATCAAGATTCAACAAACATAAATAACTTAGTTTTGATGTTTCAATATTAAGGAGCTGTTTGGTAGCATCTTTTTGATAGAATTTACGTTGGATTTAAGAATTTTGCATAAATCCAGCCAAATTGTTAAATGCATGCATGTTAAATCCGGCGACGATTAAATTCAAATTTCTTCAAATTTCATCACTAAATACGGATTTACTAAATCTAGTAGTTCAATGAATTTGATAAATTCAGATCTACAAGATTTATTAAATCCTATTCAAGTTAAATCATACTTGCAGCCAAACAACACCTAAAAATTTCAAAAACAACTAAGAAAAAAATCTTGAGAATAGCTTATATCACATGTCATTGATCAGGTACATAAGTTGAAATTTCACAAGTTTATTTAAAATTTTACATAAAGGAAAATTCAGCATATTAAAGGGTACCAAAGTGATGTTAATGGGGTCCAAACTAGATAAGAGTTAGGACCACAGTTGGTTCAGTTCAAACTAATACCATTATAGCTTCTCTCATTTCATGTGCCAATGATCTGAAATTGTCTCCTTTTCAGTGTTTATCACAAATGCAGAAAAAAATATGAAAAATGAAAGGCTGAAAAAACAGATCAGAAATAGATAGATTTTGATGCTTCAGCTGCCGAATCTACATTATTATTTTGTTTCTTTCTTTCACCTCTTTATATCATTTAAACCAATCATAGAACTTTGATATTTTGATAAAATGCAGAAATAACAATCATATGTTATGTTAATAGCTTTCTCATTGCTTTCTTGTTGTTTTCTAGAAATTTATGTGGTGAAAAACTATTTTTTACATTTAGATCTGTTAAGTGATACTATAAGAAAATTGATGTTTGATTTTTTTGAAAAATAAAATATTTATAATACGCGCATCAGTTTTTAAAATTTTTTTTTTATAACATCTTTACATCCACATTTATAAAAAGTTGCAAATATCACTAGCAAGCTCTAAATGTAATAGAAAGCATTTACAAGAACAAATGACATTGATGTCAGTGATTCCTCCAAGTTAGTTATGGTTCGAACAATATAGGCTTTTTTGGGACAGCCACCACAACTTCATTTGAGAAACTGCTTTCTTATTGCTTTCTAAAGATTTTCGTGGCAGGAATCTGTTTTTTACAACCTGACCTATTAAAATACGGTGATTGTAAGAAAGCTGGTATCTGAATTTTTTTAAATAAATATTTATAATTCTCACCTCAGCTTTCTAAGAAGTTGCCTTCTCCACAACTTTACAATCACAGTTTAAAAAAATGAAAAAAAAAGACACAAAATCTCTTTTTAATGGATTTTTTATTTATCATTAATCCATAAAATTCACCAAGAAAGAGCATTCACGTTGTGAAAGTGAGAAAAACATACATTTAAGTGCATGAGAACATTAGATTTATTATATCATGAAAAAATAAAAAAATTCAACTAAATTAATTTAAAATTTTGAAGTAGCTGAAAACAACCCATTGGGCTTAAGCCCAAAAACTATATCTTATTGTTGCTTCCTAACAAAATGCATATAATATTTTGTGCTATATGTGTAAAGCTGAATGTTTTGTAATTAACTTGTAATATAAATTCATCCATGACTTCCCTATGTTGGGCTTCATGAAGATCTGCTCGACTTCCCTATGTTAGGCTTCATGTGGATTGCTTTTATCTTGCTTGATGTATCAAAATGAAGCTTTAATATATATGAGAAACATTGTTAGTACTCCATGACCTTCATTTTAATAAAAACTTATGTAAAGTTTTGTGCAATTTTTAGATCTATCATTCCATTCAAATTTATAAAAATTACAAACTATACCTCCAAAGAAGTAGGTATTGCTATTTGATTCTTGTGGGATAAGTTGAGTTCCTATTACACAATAATGAGAAAAGAGTATCATTTATAAGGCTTTATACTTTACCTTAACTTTTGATGTTTGCATAAATAATGATAAATTCAAAAGATCTTTGCATAAATAAGGATAAATTATTAGAATGATGGGAGTAATATAACTTATTGTAGTATGAACAAACATGAAATTTGAGATTGCTAAAAGTGAGTTCTTATAAAACAAACATGTCTAAAACTCACTTAAATAAAGCTCACTTCCCAGAGTTCACTCCAACAACTTGGGAAAATTTATGTAATTCATGACAACCTATATGTATGAAGAACTCAAACAAATATACATGTTTAAAACCAATAAACTTTTCTTGGCTTTATGATTGTCATTCCAATAATTGTATGCTTAGCCATATGGAGTCCACTGTATTTTCCTATTCATATAATATTAACAGTGATCCAGTAAGCCAAGGACAATGTAACTCATCTAAACAAATGTAAAATTCTCATAACAAACATATCATCATGAACAAGTCAAATCAAACAGAGAATTTAGGTTAATCAACCTCTCAAAGAGATTAGTCCCCTTCAGACTAATTACACTTGAATATATCGTTTAGTGACATTCTTGATTACAAAAAACAAGTTTATATTTCAATTTGCCCAAATTAACATCATGAATAGACCATGATTCAAGGAATATTATTCAGAAAAGAGAAATCAATGCTTTGAGATTGGTCAATCCATAAGGCAAAGGGTGAACCACTATAACCAAATTAGATGATTGCCTTTCTCTACATAAAATCTATGCAATAGCAATCATTAAATCACCTAACAATAAAGATGGGTGTGAAAAAGCTCAAAGTGTAATGGATAAGGATAAGAAATCTGATAGAAGTAAAAAATAGCTTGGTCAATATTTCACTGATTCATCTTCCAAGATAATCAAGCTCGAAATCACTTAGTTGTAAGGAAAGCCACCCAAGTTGGTTGTGAGATGCTCTATCTGTAACCATGAATAACATCAACCGAAGTTAGCCCCGTGATCATAAACGAAAAAAGTTGAGATTCTTAGACAGATGATTTCTAGAAGGTAGATATAGAAAAATGTATAACTTATAATCTCTAGCATTACAAGGACTACGAAAAGAACGAGGAGAATATGATAACTCAATCATATGCAATCAAAGCCACTCAATTAGATTTATAATCATGTTGTAGGAGTATTAATTAAAATCATGTCTAAAAGTACAAAATTTATATCCTAAGGAATAGATATGAATGTAGGTTATTGCTCTTAAGTGAGAATTTAAATGAATGCAAAAGATAAACTATATTATTAATATAAAATCAACGTTTGGAGATTTTGCATGTTAGCAAGTGCAACCCTACATCTTGCCTAGGAGACATAAATAATATAATTTTAATGTATTAAAAATAATTAATATGAAGCCATGCAATTAATTTTAAGGAAAATTTTCCCAAATTAATTTTAAATTGATTAATCAATTTATTAAGTAAATAGAAAAGATTTTATAAAAGAGAGAGCAAAATAAAAAAAGCATTATGTGAACTACTAGAAGACTATAAAAATAAGAAAACAATGTAATGCAATGGTGATGAGAGAATAAAATGTAAACCAGTGAAGTTGACAACTAAGCTCTACATAATATATATAAAAAAAAAAAAAAATAAAAAAAAATAAAAAATAAAAAATAAAAAACTGGCAACAAAGTGCAAACCTTGGAATCCCTCTACTCCTAGTCTTTGCCATCTGATTCAACCTGTGTACACCTAATGCATTTGATAAAAGAGTATTTCAGATAATCTTAAGTGCATTTATAGGCCATAGCACATCTCATAAATATTATACTTTTCATGAAACATGTTTTAAAAGACTCCTAAGTGATGTTGTCTTCTTTGAACATCAATTTTTCTTCCTTCTCCATGTTAAGCCTCAGCCAAAGACACATGTTTTCACTAAGTTTAATGAATCCAATTAGTCCTGAATAATGCAAACTTGAATTTGCATATAAAAGAAAAAAGATCCAATTTTATCAATTTGTGGGACTGACCCACCATTGGAGAAGTGAACATTGCAACCACTTGAGCGCTCTAGTTGGAATGATCACTACAACTAGATGGTCTTCCAGAATATCTTATCCTCTAAATTGATAGAGATTTCACCTAACGTTGGCTTGGGTTCCTATTTATTCATGCTATTCAGATGTATAAGTAAAACATGATCGTTGAAAGGAGACTATAGTTGAAGAACTTCGAGCTCTTGAGGATAAATCATACATGGGAAATCACATATTATTCTCCAAATGTTAATACATTGGCTTCAAAAGGGTCCGCTTCCTTCTGGTGATACATGGGATCAATATATGGCACATTTAGTTATACTTAATAATAAACAAGAATATGACTCTAAACAAACATTTGTTCTTGTAGATAAAATGATCAGAATGATTATTGTACTGTTGCTTTACAAAGGTGGATGCTGCACCAAATAAATGTTAAAAATACCCGTCTTCATGGTGATCTCAACTAGGCGATCTACATGATATTTCCACTTGCTGTTCCGCCTCCGATCCTTCAAATGTATACAAACTCAAGCACTCTCTATATGGATTGAAACAAGTCCCTCGTACATGGTTTGATGAATTTCAATCAAATTTACTTAGTTTCTCATTTAAATAGACCAAATAACGACTCATTGTTATTTCTTTGTGAGACATCCAACGTTATTACTATCCTCCAAGTCCATATTCAAGACCAAATAACGACTCATTAATTTGAGGAGCATACTCCATAATCTATCAAATATTAATCACATAAGAGATAAAAATATTAATATAAATAAAACTCTAAATAAAAATAATACATCTCTATATAAGTTTCCAGTAAATAATTTCCAGTAAGTAACAAAATATATGGCCTCTGCTCTCCTCATTCTCACACACTCTCCTCTTCAAATAATTTCATAAATATACTCTCATTTCCTTTTGCAAAAAAGAAAGGGATTCCATGCCTTAATACATTATTGGCTTATTAATAATACTCCCTCATATACCCCAAAAAAAGAACAAAAATGAACCAACATATATCAAACCCAATGAGCTCATCAACATACTGAAATCTTGGCCTTAATGTTGTATTCCACCATGTTCGTTTTCATCGGCTTTAGCATCGAGGAAAGATGCAGATGATTTGTCCAGGAACCACACCAGCTTCCCTTCACTTGGGTTCACCATCTGGGCTGGCAAAGCAGCATCGAGGCCGTCGGCAATACAATCAACAACTCGCTTCACGATCATCGCCTTATCATCACCTACTGCCAACATCGCAATGTTGGATGCCGAATTGATCACTGGAAGCGTAAATGTGATCCTCTCCGGCGGTGGCTCGGGCGAATCCGTGAGGTAAGTGACCCACTCCTCCTTGTGCTGAAGCAAAATGTGGTGAGGGAAGAGGGATGCCAAATGACCATCGGAGCCGAGTTCGAGGACTATAAGATCGAACTTTGGACAATCATTGCTCTCCGAGACATCGATCGTGCGGACCTTGACGAGCTGCCGGATCATGAATTCGTATTCTCGCGCTGCTTGCTCCACCGTCAAATTATCATTTATGGAGTAGATGTGGCTGTTGAGGATAGAGACCTAGAAATTAATGTTGAGATGTTAGTAGACTTAATTACACATTCAAAATGTGGACATGGAGGATGAAGAAGAGTTGATTTGTATGTGAAATATTATGAATATATAAAATATCACTTGAATGAAAAGACTGCAAAAAATTAAACAGGTGGAATCAATTCAGGGAATTATGCTGAGAATAAGTTCTGGCACCAATAATACAAAGAGCTAAAAGAAATTCACAACCCATTATATGATATGACAGAAGAAATTAAAACACGGAACATGAAAAATTATTGATTTCGACAGATAAAATACTGAAGAATAATGATTCTGAAACATTTTGTTGAGATGGGATTAGTATGCAAATCAAACCTACAATTCTAAGTTTTGAACCTTTTGCAACATTTAGTTAAAGCTTTATTTCAAGTATTTGGTAAATAATGAGGACCAAAGATTCAAAATTTAACTTCATATTGTTTATTTTCAACACTGACATTGTCAAATCTCAAGCCCCGAATATCAAAAGTGGAGGGTTGTGTTAGGCAGTCGATAGCCAATGTAAAATTTGTCGAAAAATCATGACATGAATTCTTTTAATTATTGTGTAAATGCTACGGCGTCCGCTGCAAGCAACGCGTTGTATGGCTTGAATACAGTGAAAAGTGTGAAAAAACCGCTACACCGGCGCCTGAGTATAATGTCAAATAAGCAAGAGTTTTCACATTACAAAAAGATCTAGGTAAAGAAGTTAGTCCATGAAACTAAAATTAGGATAGGATCTTGGAATATAAGTAATTTCAAAGGCAAATTAATAGAATCAGTTGATGATATGATTTATAGAAATATAAATATCTTATGTATTTAAGAAACTAAATGAGTTGGAGAAAAGACTAAGAAGATTGATAACCTAGATTTTAAACTATAGTATTCAGATAAGAGTCGCACTAGAAATGGTGTAGGTATAATTATAGATAAAAGTTTGAAAGATAATGTTGTAAAAATTAAGTTTGCCTACTAGGAATTATTCTCGCAGAATTAGATGGGGGCACCAAAAAGACAGTTAAAATTATTTTTATGAGTAAACTTCAAAATTTGTAATGTTCATGAAGAAACAAATTCTATGTGGAATAAAGTAACAAACACAATTAAATAAGTGACAAATGATATACTTGGAGAATTAAAAGAAAAAAAAAATTCTATAAATAAAAATAGTTTGTGGTGGAATAATAATGTGTAAGAAAATATAGAATATAACAATTTATGTTATAAAAATTGGTTTAAATATAAAAGCTTAGAAAACTGAGAAAATATAAAATGAACCATAGGGAGTCCAAGAGAATAATCTGTGACACTAAAATTTCTACTTTTAGTGATCTTTATAATATATTAGATACTAAAGATGGTGAAAAATATATTTATAAACTAGTCAAATAAAGAAAAAAGAAAAGTAAATATTTAATTCAAGTAAAGCGCATTAAAGATGAAAATAAAAAAGTGTTTTTCTTAGGAAAAGATATTCAACATAGATGGGTGAGTTATTATGATAAACTTTTTAATAAACTTTATGAAAATATAATCAACCTTAGTTATCTTAACATCGTTAATAATAATAAGATATTTAATTTTTACCATCGCATTAGTAAAACAGAAGTTGAGGAGGTTTTAAAGAAAACCAAGGGTGGAAAATTTGTAGGATCTGATGATATCCCAATTGAAGTGTGGAAATATATAGGAGATTTGAGTGTTTCTTGACTTACTAAACTCTTTAATATTATTTTAAAAACTAAAAAAATATCTGAGGAGTGGAAGAAGAGTATTTTTGTCATTATTTTTAAAAATAAAGGGGATGCACCCAAAAGTGTGCAAATTATAGAGGAATTAAATTGATGTGTCAAACTTTAAAATTATGAGAGGGTAATTAAACATAGTTTAACACGTATTACAAATATTTCTTATAATCAATTTGCATTTATGTCGGGCAAGTCTACTATGGAAGCTATACATTTATTGAGAGGTTTAGGTTTGATGGAGAAGTTGATGGAGAAGTTCAGAGAGAATAAGGATGGTCTACATATGATTTTTATTGATTTAGAAAAAGCTTATGATAAGGTTCCAAGAGATATCCTTTGAAGTGTTCTAGAGAAGAAAAGTGTTGATATGAATTATATTCAAGTCATTAAAAAAAGTATAATAGAGCTGTTTTACTTGTGTTCGAACAGAGGATTGACCAAATATTTTTCTATTTTAGTTGGACTACATCAGGGATCAACTTTGAGCCCATATCTTTTTGCTTTAGTCATGGATGCTCTTACTAGACATTTACAGAGGATGTACCTTGTGTATGTTTTTCTGTGATGATATCCTTCTAGTGGATAAGACTAGAGAGAAAGATCAGTTAAAACTTGAATGATGGAGGTCTAAATTTGATTCTAAAGGCCTTCATTTAAGTAGAACTAAAATTGAATACATGGAATGTAATTTTAGTAGTAGTAGCTCTAGTGACAGAGTTGTAACTATGGGTGATCAAATTATTAAAAGGTGTGAACGCTTTAGATATCTCGAGTCTATTGTTCAAAGTGATGGTGATATAGATGGGGATGTTAGCGGTATAATTCAAGTTGGTTGATTGAAGTGGAGGAATGCTTCGAGCCTATTGTGCGATAGAAAAGTACTGCTTAGACTGAAAGGAAAATTTAATAAGATGGTGGCGAGACCAGCAATGCTCTATGACGCAGAATGTTGGCCTTTAAAAGAGAAGCATAAAACTAAGTTAAGTGTTGTCGAGATGAGAATGGATAGGTGGATGAGTGACTTTACATTTAGAGACAAAATGCGAAATGAATATATCCGTGATAGGGTTGTTGTAACTCCAGTGGCATGGCAGACAAAATTAGAGCGAGTCGTCTTAGATGGTTTTGTCACATTAAACGTCGACCATCTGATGATCCAATTAGGAGAGTAGATATTTTAGATTCAACTTATGTTAAGAAAGACAAAGGTACACCCAGAAATACAAAGGCATATTGTATAAAAAATGACCTTAATCTATTAGAAAAAATGAAAATATGACACTCAATAGGGCGCAATGGAGAAAAAGGATTCATGTAGCCGACCCCAGACAACTGTTTATTCTTGTTGTTGTTGTATGTCATCAATGATGCAAACGACAGATGTCCACCATTTTTTTTTTGGAAGTTGAGTCTTAATGACAACTAAGTTATGAATTAGCGGTTAGTGATTAGGATATGTTTTGAACTTGAGTCTCCTAGTTGGATAGAAAGCTCTTCGCAAATTTCTCCATAAGCCTTGCACGATGTCTTCCAGTTCATGCAAGTATAAAAGAAACACAAATGATCAACCTTCAATTCAATTTATAAGGCGAAAAAGAGAAACTTTTGAAAACTTCATCTCACTATTCATGTTTTTTGATTCATAAAAAAGTTTTTTTTGTGGTTCTCGCGACTCGAGTGATGGACCAATGATTATCCAAGTAGCTCTTGTGGCATTGAGCATGAAATACTTGTTCAGATGCTTTTTGTTGTTGTATGATCCAATGCACGTCAAGAATAAGCTAACATTAATAAATATGATGTTTAAAAAAAAGTAGGCAAGGACATGTAATCATGCAACTTTTGATTCAATTAAATATTTGACTGAAACTTCAAATTTATGTGCACAATGCTAGTGATTTCGTCGAGTACTATAAAAGTACGACAAGCTAATTCTAGAACTCGTTTTCTATTATTGGCGTTAGGCTTGAATTTTTAGACACTTTATGGACTATTTTCTTCAGTTTATCCAACTTCTTATAAATATCTAGAGCTCTTTATCAGCTTCATATTTGATAAAAAAAATATTTACATACATACCACTTAATTCCACACCTAAATTTTAACTTTTACATATGAGCCACCTTACATATGCATAAAAAGCTATGTTTTGATTTTTTTTAAGTTAAAATAGTGTTATTTTTGATGTGATATGAATGATTTGGATGGTGTAAATGTTAAAATTAAAGTTTAGGTGTTAGATATGTAAATGCATAGGAATAGATTGGACCGGTATGTATGTAAATGCCCCTTAAAAAAATTGGAGTTTAATTGCGATGGAAAAAATTCAGTTGCTTATTGGGCTTTCAAAGTTCAAATTTCTCATTCATTTCTTCATTTTAATCAATCATTACATTATCATTTTAGTTCTGATTCCCACCTTGTTTGCATCTAAATAAAGTAAAATTTTGTACATCAAGCGGCCTTAAAAATCTAAATCCTAATTTTCTTCATGTGATCCACATACCTTAAATTAATTGTTCACTCAAAGCCCTAAATTTCGTCATTCAAATTTGACGAAGAGTTTGCTAGAGGGTAAAGGGGCATACGAAATTTTTTTTTCCTGTACATAGCATCTTGGTATTGTACCTGCAGAACCCCAACTTTAAGCCAACAGCGCCCCAACGCCTAGAGGCAACACCGCTGCTCCTAGTTTAGGTTTAGCACCCGATAGCATGACACTGCAGTGCCCAAATGCAACTCCATGAAGCAAGTAACGATATTTGGACAGTTTTCACTTGAAGTTTCGGTTTTGTTGATAGGAAGGGTTCAAATTTTTAATTCTCTTATGCAAATGAGAAGAAAACAGCGTTCTGAAGTGTTTCAAAGTGTGAAGAGGTTTGAGTGGTGTAATTTGTACGAATCTGCTCACTCTTCTAGTGAATTTCTTGATGTGAGGCTTCATGGTATTTTCTATTCTCGGGTGTTTTTTTATTTTGTGCGCTTCTGTTCAAATTTTTGCTACGAATCTCTTGAATCAATTTTTGCAATTTAATATCTCCCAGAACCTATATCATATAATAGTTGCACAAAAGTACCAATGCAAACGTCTCTATTCCATAAGCATAAACGACCATAATCTAAACTTCTCAGAAAAATAAAATGGCAACATGAACTGGTATCTGAACAATTGAAATATTACATCAAATATCAAGAACGTTGACATTTAATCTAACTATAACTTTTCCATCACAAAAACTAATGAACCAAAGCATATTTCATGTTGAAGAAGTGAAATCAAACAAATTTTTTAAGTTCACAAAGAAGAACTATATAAAAAAAATTAGTTTTAGAATCAAAATTCAATCTTTTCTCCATCCAACAAAATTCCCAATGAAGATATGACAATCTTATACACACCTTCGAAAGAAATCCATCCTTCATCAGCCTATAGTTGCTGTCGACGTGATTCTTTCCCACCGCCCGCTCGTCGGCCCAAAAAACATACCATTTTGTCCAGTCCACAGTCTTGTTATAAGGAGCTTCAGAAAGCTTCCTGCGTCAATCAATAAATATATTTGAATTTAAGCTCTAGGCCCGTTGTTAAAGAAGTATGAAATTACAACAATTACAAATATACCCCATCAGGTTGATTAAAGAACCACCAGTTAAGGCAATTGTAAAAAATCCCCTTTCTCTTACAAAAACCTCTGATAATTGTGCAATATACTCGGCCAAATCTGTAGCCAAATCATCCAAACTTTCAAAAACTCTCAGCTTATTGCTGCTCCTCACATCACCAGAAGCAGCCATTATGCAAAACCAATAAGTCCAGTTAGGAAGAGTTCCCACAAGAACATAAAACATAAACACAAGGCCTGTAAGACCTGTAAGAAAAAAAAAAAAACTGGAATTCATTATTAAATATGAAAATTTTAGACTAAAACTAGTTTACACAACAGGAGTCTTTGGCAATATACTTAATTATTAAAACAAAGTTGCAATTTTGAATGTTGAAATTGGATTAGTCCAGTCAGGAAGAATACCAATCTGGTATCCAGAAAAAGAAAGAAAAATAAAATTAAATAAAATTACACTGCAAATTCGCAATTTAAGACTTTATGAGCTAATCGGCAAGAAAAAGGCTTCAACCATGATATACAATCCATAAAACCAAACAGAAAACTTTATCAGAAACAGTTGATCGGGGGAAAAAAGGAGACTTTTTTAGCACCAGAAATGTTCAGAAAAAGCCAAAGAGAAAACCAAAGGGGAAGAATTAGAAGATCACTAGGTGCGTACAATTTATCAAATCATCAAATCAAAAAAGTTCAGACTGATACCAACAGACTAACAGATGAAGAACAGGAAGCAAAAAAAAATCAAAAGATTTCTCTCAAATAACCTTCTCGAAAAATGCTCCAGTTCAGCTCGAAGCCAGAGAAATCCCAATCCCAAAATATCCCCTTTCAACTTCCATCATCTAGAGTGAGAAAATGAGAGAAGATGAACAGGAACAAGAAGAAGAAGAAGCAAAGGATTAAGCTTTCTGACAGAGATTCTGTCAAATAAAAACAGGCAGGAGAATCCTCTTATTCATATTCACACCAAACCAATCTAAAACCCCAAATCCACAAGAAACCCATTAAAAAAACACCAAACCCCATCTCAGAATAAAAAAAGGTGCAGGGGAATGGATAAGCTGAAGTAAATCAAAGCCGGGAAGCATCGCAAAACTAAAATCGTCAACTTTCTGTTCATAAAAAAACCAATTTTTTATTCAGCGATGATGTTCAAAACTCAGAACACACCTTATGCTTCAGCCCGCACGTACATTCCGGTATGCTGAGCTCAAACACAAAGAAAACCCCTCCTTCAAAACTGCCCCTTTTGTACCTCTGCCGAACCCGACGGAACCTCTGCAAGATAATTCGGTTACATCTCTCTCTTTCTCCGAGAAAACTTCATCATTTTCCGAAAGAAAAAACATAAAAAACTCGGCTTTGTTTCTCCCTCCCACTTTATAACCCAGAGGAGAACACGTGTTCCAATGAAAATGTTCCAAGTGGACGAATCGCCTGTGCTCTCCAAATCCAACGTCCCACAATTGGCAAAATCTGATTTTTCTTCTCTTTTCTTTTTCCTCCTCCATATTTTATAAAAGAAATATATGTATATATGATAAAAATAATGTAGAGCTGTAAAGCACCGACATTTATTAAAGTTGATTACATGGAAGAAAATTGATCAGCACATAATAATACTGATACTGATATATTTATAGGCTCTTTGGTTGCATATATTTTAAGAATATAATAAATTAAATTTATTTTTTATATGCAATAACTATTTCTTCATAATAACACTATCTTCCCTAATTTAGGATAAGGATGGACTTGTGTATTCAATATTCCCAGTAGATTAATGCAACTGGGTCAGACCACATATCTTTTTTTCTTTTTCTATCATAAAAATTGAGGTGTCTGATTCTATTTAACTTTTCTTTTACCTGAGTGTGTGTTGTACTTTCATATAATACTAAGACGCTGAATAATCACTCTATTAGTATGAATATTCTAACTCTATTATAATTTATTAATTCTTGAAAGTATATGCTATATTAATAGCCTGCAACTAAATTTAAAAAATGGAAAAAAATAATTAACACTAAAAAATTGACAATAAAATAGTCTAGTATATCTAAAATTAAATGTGATTTATACTTTGAAACAAGATTTGATCAAAGTATAATACTTAAGATAAAAAAAAAGGAATCAAATCATTTCTATTCAATCAATTTCATATATATTTTTAATTTATGTACCATTTGCTCTTCTATTTATTACATTCTTATCATAGTTCATATAAATAATAACCTTTTTTATTGTATATATAATAACTTTATATATTTAAAGGATAAGAATTTAAATGTTTTTTGAATCTTTTTATTCTAATATAAAATGATGCCTGATTTTTAAATAAGAAAATTCTTAATTTTCTTACGTTTATAATATATATATATATATATATATATATTTAATTTTTCTTAAAACTATTTTCTTATTGATTTCTTCGCATAACATTTTGAATTAATCTCTAAGATTAAAATCACCAATAAACCAAGTTAAGTCAACCAATAACCATATTTGGCTTTGGTAAGACAAGGTTGAATAGTATCAAATCAGTCTTGAGCCGAAATCTAAGGCAAATGTGGGGTCTTCATGAAGTTGCTATATATAAACCAAATGAAGTACTCTTTTTCTCAATATTGAAATCAAGCCACCGCTTTGCTCTCGAGGACGTAGGCATCTGTATCGAACCTTGTAAATCTCTGTGTGTTCTTCTGAATTTGTGTCGATTCCTATTTTTTTTGCCCTAATTTTTCATATATATATTTATTCAAAGAAACAAATAACAATTTTTTTATAGTCATTGCATTTAAATATGTTAAGTTGAAAAAAAATAGCTTCCAACCACAAAAAAAATTATGAAAATCAATAAGAAAATAGTTTCTCAAATAGAACTGTGATAACAATATGAAATTCAAAACAAACATAAAATTATCCCAAACAAATCCTAAATCAGATGCTACAAAAAAAAAAAAAAATCAATAAGACAATATAACTAACATTATTTAAAAAAACATATTTTTTAAATAATTATATGAATTAAAAATAAAAAAAGAAAAATCTTTTCATTTTCTTCATTGATTTTTAAATAAATGTATGCATTGTTTTTTTGGCAATTAAATATAAACGTATGGGATTTGGTAAACGTATTTATGGCCATAATCGCTACTTTGATCTTCAGCATTTAATACTAATAATACTTATCGTGTGGCATTTTTGTTAATCTTTTAATTGTTTGATGTGTAAATTATGGGGAAAAAAAATATATGAGGACAAAAAACTATTGTATTTTGTTAGAAATGGCTTTCATTATTAATTACGCATAAAAAAAAATATATGAGAAATGCCATATTCTTAAAAAAGTGGACTGATTATCATTTTATGGTCCGTTTGGTGCAGCGGTGTGACACAGACTGCATTTTTGTCTCTTCAGGTGAACTGTGTTTTGACTGTTTTTTCAAAAAATTATTGCTGAAATCTGCGTTTACCCACCACACATTACTAGTTGTAGTGACAGCTTTCTAGCTACAGTTATACTTAAAAAAAAATTGTAACCGTAACTTTTTGAGCATCTGATCATTATTCAGCAGTTTCGTAACTACTTTTTAGTTAGCTTCAGCTGCCCCAAATAACCCTTAGTCTCATAATCTATAAAAGTGCCACATTAATCCCCAAATTCTTTGAATTAGGGCAAAAATGGTCCTCATGGAATACTACTTACAGAATCTGAAGACTATTTTGATACTTCTGTGAACTCTGGAACTGCAACAATCACATGGAAATAGTCTGAGAACTATTTTGACACCTTACTCATTCTCATAATAAATAAATAAATAAAACATTTATTTACTTTCAACATAAAGAATTTGAGTCATATATTTTATATTTACATTTTATTACCATAAAAAAATACTCATTTTATAAAAGTTTTAAATATTTTTCTCATTTTAATTTATTAAACTAAAAATTTACAAAAAAAAAAAAAATCATATAATTTCTTTTATTGTAATGGTTTGCCAAACGGTCTACTAAATGAATGTAGCAATAATAGAGAACCAGTTGTCTATTATGTCGCTATTAAGAGTTTATTTTTATTTCTTTTGTAGGGTTTTGGTTAGTAATGTAATAATATTATTTAGGGATAATTACATACAGAGCACAAGAAATATTAATATTTACAAATCAAACACTTTTGTGATTTTTTTGAACAATGAAATAGATGCATTTACGCGTGCCACGATAAAGCTATAGAGAATTTGATTAAAATAAAAAACACGGGTTGGGGTTTTATCACGATCTTTGATATTTGAGCGAGAATTTGAAGAATGGATGAAAGAAAGAGGGTGGGATGAAAGAGGGTGGTTGATTTGTAAATAGCAATGTTTTGGGTGCCCAATATGTAATTGTCCCTATTAATTAATTAATTATGTAAATTTTCATTTATATCTCATAATATCATACAGCAACAGCAAAATATTAATTTTTATAATATATTTGTCACCTTATATGAATGAAAAGCCTCATTTATCTTGGAGGTGGCCCATTATTAGTTATATTTCAAGAGATATATAATATTATGTGATAGAAAATTGTAGGGCAGAATAGTAGATGTTTCAATGTGCTGGAAATGAAGAATTATAAATACAATACATAGTATGAATGAATTTAAAGTTGACGCCATAGTTCATTTCAGTTGAATTTAGAATTCGGTCAGTTTGATTGAATTTGAGTTCCACAATAAAATGCAATCGGTAAGCCGCCACCGCCCGCTACCACAGCCGGTCGTCTGCCGCCGGTTCCCCATTGCCGCCATAACAAAAGTTGTATTTTGAAATACAATGTTTTTAATATACAAACCAAATGAAAATGCATAGAATTCTACGTTTATTAAACATTGAACTGAAAAATTCTAAAATATTTCTAATACATTGTAATCAGAGTGCTCTGCAAATTTTTTACATTGAATCTCATTTTGAGCAAATCAAACAATCCCTTGATGATAATTGATAAGAGATGAAGTGATTCAAGATGCATTTGGGGCGGCAGTGCTGTGCCGCATCACAATTTTTACAGTTTGGCAAAACTATGTTTTATATGCATACTCGAAAATCTGCAGCTGAAAACTATGTTTTCTCAACAAGTCTGACGACCTGTAGTGACCGCTAGAAAGCTGCAGTTTGTTTTTTTTTTCAAAAAAAAAAAAAAAAAAAAAAAACAAATATGTAATCGTCACTATAATTTTCTGAATAACAGTTATTTCCTTAGCAGCTTCACAGTTATTTTTTCAAACAGTTATTGTTGTGGCGTGCAGACCATCAATTATTGAAATTGGAGATTAGGATAAAAACAAGTATAGTTAACATTTTCCTTGTCTAAGTTTAATGGGATTTTAGCAGATTCCGTGACAGAAAGGCCGAGGAGATTGGTTGGAATATTTTTGTTCATATTGAATTAATGCCTTGATGGAGACTTGGATAATTTTTTTTATAATATATGATGCCTTAATAAAAAATTCACTTGATTAAATGAAAATTTTAATATAAGTTATGGTAATCAAAATGCTAAGATTAAGATATATTTTAATATAAATTCTAGTATTCAAAGTGCTAAGATTAAGATATTAAGATGTCTAGAAACTAATATATGATTGAGAGAATCAACGTGATGCCATGCTAAAAAATTCACGACGATTGACTAACGAATTATTGTATTAATATTATACGATAATTTTGTGTACTTACATGAAAGAAGATAACTTGTAAGGACATCAAAAATTTTTATGTGGAAAATAAGAATAGTGAAAATAAAAAATTATTGGATCTTGTCAGTTAAAATATTCCACTTTGAATTGGTAATTATAGGTATGACTCATTGTTTTACAGGCGGGAAATAATTATAATATTGGTGCACGGAATAACTCATTGCCTTGTGACAGTGAATGGTCATTGTGGGGAGTGATTGCTGGAGATTCAGTGCGCCATCTTCGGGGTTGGCAAGATGTTCGGGATGATACATTGTTTTGTAGGTTGCCACGTGATTTTGCGGTGTCGGTAGTTGGTTCACAGAGTGTTTCATCGTAAAGAATGTGCGGCGGTTGATGGATGTTAGAGTTGGCCGAATGGGGTGGCGAAGTTGTCGGAGGTGTGGTCAACGGTGGTTGGCAGTTGCTCGTAATAACGGTTTTTTGCTTAACAGATCCTACTTCACCTCTTCACACATATATTACGACTACTACTACTTTATCTAATATCCTCCCTGTCTATTTCCTTACTTTCAAAAGTGGGTTAATAGTTTGATCCAACCAAGACTGGACCAATTTTGATATCTTAGGTTCATCTCGTCGAGCTAGTTAGTTTGACTATAAACTTCCTGAAATCAGAATTCTGAAAGCTTTTAAGTTTTAATCGAAGACTGAGCATTTCTTGCTAAAAAAATTTGTCTCAAGATTCATGTCTGATGATAGAAATTTGTTGATGACATATCACAATGCAAATCATTTAATTAAGTTCAATTTTTTTATTAAAATAACTAGAATATTCTTATTTAAGAAAATCAATAAACATGTCACATTAGTCATTCGAGAAAGTAGGCTTGAGCTCGGCTTGCGAGCTCATTGAACTTTCATGAGCCACTCATCGAGTCAAGCACACATTATACACGAAAATTTTTTTATCTTTATTTTAGTATCAACCCATACCATCTCTCTATACTAAGATTTGTGAACCATAGCAATATGTTATTTTTCAAAGTCCTCTCTTTCATAACATAAAGTCAAAGAAGTGACTTTACGAATAAATCAATAGCATATAATATTCATTGATAATGAAATCATTGCTTTGGAAAAAAATGACAATATAAAATATTAAATTACACGCATAAGGCAATGGATGCTTGCAAGAAATGAATGACTGTGAAATAAAGCAAGTCAAACTAAACATTATCATCTCATATATTCAATTATAACAAAACTATATGGCCAGAAAGATTGCTGAAAGATTAACCATATAAAAACACATATTGACCACAAAATAAATGAAATATATATACATAAATATAATAATAATAATAATAATAATAATAATAATAATAATAATAATAATAATAATAATAATAATAATAATAATAATAATAATAATAATAATAATCAAACCTCTCTCATAATTCAAACGAAACATTTTGAAAGTTAATTATGATGTACGTTTAGTACAGTGGTGTGGTGTTACACTGTATTTGATAGCATTTGAAGTTGCAGTGGGAAACTGTGTTTTGCATTCTGATCTGGTTGAGTAGCTGCCAAAAAATTGCGGAATTACTTTTAAAAGATAAAAATTTGTAAGAGCCACCGCAATAAAAAGATGACAAATATATAAATAGGTGAAAAAAATCATAAAAATAGTTCTTTTCAGATAATTATGTGTCAGGCAGGTAGAATGTAAAGAAATAACAAGCAGTTAGATGTAATTTTCATTAAATTTTCGAGAAATTGAAACATTTGGTGGTAACCTTTTGAGCCTCCAACCACCCTCATGTGCCTAACTATTCAAGCACCACCATCATTACGGGTAAACTGACAAGAAAAGGATTCGAACCTGTGACTTGAGAGGACTTACGACGTTCAAAGAGGTTGCTCTACCAACAGACCACGGCTGGCAGAACACACACACACATCACACACATATATATATATATATATATATATATATATATATATATATATATAAACGATAACATTCTTTCCATAGGATAAATAATGATTCAGACTTGCTAATAAACATGTTGGATACTATAAATAGTTCAATCAATTAAAGTTTTCAACAATACTGGTCCCCTCCATGTGATCTTAATATTTCAAACTGCCTACTATAAGGTTGCCTGATGAGAAATTTCCGTATAAGATTTACATACATACCACTCAATTCTTACGTATTTACATATCTAACACCTAAACTTCAATTTTTACACATTTGCATGAAAATGTGTATTTCACATTTCAAAGCTAAAATAGTGGTATTTTTGATGCGGCATGGAAGCTTTGGATGGTATAAATATAAAAACAAGGTTTGCTAGATGTAAATGCATAAGAATTGAGTGGTATGTACGTAAATGCCCTTAATTAGAATACCAAATTAGGATTTTCCCACAAATAAAATTGAAATCCAGTTTCAAAGATGGCCCAAATACTCTATTAAATGGCAGATTAAGGGAATCCTAGAATCAAACACAAAACTAGAAAGGAGATTTGCATACATAACAAACAATTCTTATGCATTTATATTTTCAACATCAAAATTTTGATATCTATTTATATAAGACTTTAGCATCATAATCACATCAATAAATGTGCATTAAAATATGTGTTTTACCATAAAAAGGCTTCGGGAAATTTACATGCATATCACAAAAGTCCTATGAATTTACATATCTAACACCGACAGTTTGATATTTACAACAATTTGATGTGATAAGTATATGCATGAAGATGAGTTAGTAATAGTTATATTAAAGATTTGAGAGCTTTATATGTAAATATGAAAGATTAGGTGATAGATACGAATACAAAGGAATTATGTGGTATGTATGTAAATGCTCCAAAAACTTAAAGAGTGTTGTGGACTATTTTGATATTTCTATAAAATTTAGTACTAAAATGGCCTCATATAAATAGTCGGGGACTATTTTTGGCACTCTACTCCTTAATAATCTACTTGATTCAAATTTCAATCTAAATCTAATGAGAAATTATCAAATTACAGCACAAAAATTTTTGCATGAAATATTCAGTCCACTGAGTTTTCAAATCTATTCCATCTACACTGAGAAGACATATGAGGGATTTAGGTAATGACTGTATCTCTACAAATACAGAACTGAGCTACAATCATGGTGTCATGTCAATTATTTCTTGGGGCATTTACATAAATACCACCCAAGTACTGTATATTTACATATCTAACCCCTAAACTTTACTTTTCATGTTTATACCACCCAATCTTCAATATCCCATTAAAAATACCACTGTTTTAACTTCCAGAAAGTGAAATACACCGTTTCATGCATAATTGAGGTGGCATACATGTCAAAATTAATGCTTAGGAGTTGTATATGTAAATACATAGAAAATAAGTGGCATGCATGCAAATCTTCCTTGTTTCTTTCTAGTTCATGTAAATTCCCACCACAGAATTAAAAATCATTATCTATCAAAAGGAGATGGATGGAAAAGGTTATCTCATCCTGTGTAAGAAAATAAATCATTATCTATCAAAAGGAGATGGTGGAAAAGGTTATCTCAACGTGTGTAAGAAAACAAGCGGCTATTGTACAAGGAAAGAAAATAATTTAAATGCTGGCATAATTATTATATCAAAAGTGACCACCTCTTTAGTATTAAAAAGGTCAATTTTCATAAATGAGTCAACATAGCTGAATTATGTCATTATGAAGAATGAATCACTTTATATAAAGCATTATGAAGGAGAAATCACAATATTTAAATAGAAGGCAGTTGTGCTAAGTGTTGCAGTGCATAGACTCTTTATTCACAGAAAAAGTAAATAGGGCAACAATAATTAGGTAAAAATAAAAGGTATTTTCTGATAAACATGATTCAGAAGGAAATGCATTAATTTCATACAGTTTGTTTCAAGCAGACTCAGTAAAACTACATTACCTCAGAGAATTATAGAGGAATTAAAATAGCAATCGTTCTGCACAAATCTAAGACAAATTAGGGATGACTGACAACTTATACCTCTCTATATTATGAAGTTAAATCAGTAAGAATCAAAGGCTGATTTAGGTGGATTGCCACTTATGATATTTTGATTAATCATGACCCCTGTCACCGAAAAGTTTGCTTTAAAGAATTACTTTAAGAATAAGAATGAGATATGACACGTATCACTTGCTAGCAACAAAAAATGCACAATAATGCAATTGATTATGCAACCCACAACAAGGTAAAAGAAGAGATATGCAATGCGTGCAATGCTTCAGTTCCAAGAGCTACAAGCATATTGCTACCAACTGTGTAAGAAAATCTTACAATTATTGTCAGAGCTTGGTAATTAGCTGAGTGATAGAATAGCACTTCAGTGGTGTTAATGTTGTAATTATATAGCAAAGTTCCCTCTAAGTAGACCATGGACCAAGACAACCGGGATGACAGAACCATAAGTTCTTGATCGGGTTTGTCGTCATTTCCCCCACCATGCACTTTAACTTAAAATGATACTTTTAAATTTGTTCCTAGTATATGTAAAGTTTGAATAATTAGCACCTAATAACCAGCTTTTATTGAGAATGTTCTCTCTTTATCAAGAGAGAAAGAGAGACAATTAACCGTGAGTGCTTGCACCTACGAGAAAGCTCAAATCCTAGATCTTGAAGTCCTTGCAAAATAAGAGTGAAATTTCTGAGTATTTTCTTACCTACTATCTTATCTATCTTCTAAAAATTTGACTTGGAACATCACAGTAAACTTCCTCACTCCCATCTCACAGAGGCCACGGCATCAAATTCTCTGAATTCACAATAATCAACATAATACTGTAAAATTAAACAACAATAAGCCTTTACCTACTAAGTGGGGTCAGCTATATGAAACTTTTTTCTCCATTGTGTCCTATTGAGTGCATATTTTAATTTAACTCTAATAAATTCAGATCATCTTTTATACAATATGCGCAAGACTTTTTAGGTCTACCTCTAGCTTTTTAACATAAGTCAAATCTAAAACATCTACTCTCCTAGCCAGATCATCAGATGGTTGGCGTTTAATGTGACCAAACCATCTAAGAACGACTCTCTCTAATTTTGTCCTCCAATGGAGCTATACCAACCCTATCACAGATATATTCATTTTGCGTTTTGTCTCTAAGTGTCAAGCCACTAATCAAGCCACTAATCCACTTAAGCAATCCACTTAAGCATTCTTATCTCGACAACACTTAACTTTGTTTTATGCTTCTATTTTAAAGGCCAACATTCTGTGCCATAGAACATTACAGATCTTACCACAATCTTATAAAATTTTCCTTTCAATCTAAGCAGTATTTTTCTATCACACAATTGGCCCAAAGCATTCCTCCGCTTCAACCAACCAACTTGAATTCTACTAATAACATCACCATCTATATCACCATCACTTTGAACAGTAGACCCGAGATTTCTAAAGCGTTCACACCTTTTAATTATTTGATCACCCATAGTTATAACTCTGTCACTAGAGCTACTACTACTAAAATTCAGTTTTAGTTCTACTCAAATGAAGAACTCAAACGAAGACCTTTATACTCCAATGTAGACCTCCATAATTCAAGTTTTTCCTGAATTCTTTCTCTAGTCTTATCCACAAGAAGGGTAGCATTAGCGAAAAGCATACACCAATGTATATCTTCCTATAAATGTCTAGAAGAGCATCCATAACTAAAGAAAAAAGATATGGGCTTAAAGCTTATCCTTGATGTAATCCAACTGAAATAGGAAAATATTTGTCAATCCTCTATCTGTTCGAACACAAGTAATAGCTCTAGTATACACATCTCCAATGACTTGAATATATGTCATATCAACACCTTTCTTCTCTAGAACTCAGAACTCTCCAAAGGATAACTCTCCAAAGGATTTCTCTTGGAATCTTATCATAAGCTTTTTCTAAATCAATAAAAATCCTATGTAGATCCTCCTATTCTCTTTGTACTTCTCCATCAAACCTCTCAATAAATGCATAACTTCCATAGTAGACTTGCACAACATAAATGCACATTGCTTATGAGAAATTTTTGTAACACGTCTTAAACTATGTTTAATTACTCTTTCTCATAATTTTAAATTACGACACATTAATTTAATTCCTCTATAATTTGCACACTCTTATGCATCCTTATTCTTAAAAATGGAGACCAAAATACATTTCCTTCACTCCTCCGACATCTTTTTAGTTTTTAAAATAAAATTAAAGCGTTCAGTAAGCCAAAAACTCTCAAATCCCCTAAATATTTTCACACTTCAATTGGGCTATTATCAGGTCTTATTGATTTTTCACCCTTAATTTTCTTTAAAACCTCTTGAACTTCTTTTTTTACTAATACGATGGTAATAATAAAATATATTATTACTTTTAACGATATTAAAATAACTAAGATCGTATTTTCAGAAACTTGATTGAAAAGTTTATCAAATTAGCTCACCCACCAATATTGAATATCTTTTTTTAAGAAAAACCTTTTTATTTTTCATTTTTAAGAAAATCTTTACTTTTCTTTTCTCTTTGTCTGACTAGTTTATACATATATATTTCAACCTCTTCAATTCTAATATATTCTAAAGATCATTAAAATAAAATTTTTAGCTCGCAAATTGTTCTCTTAGACAACTTAGTCACCTTATATTTTTTTAAGTTCTCTAAGCTTTTACATTTAAACTAATTTTTAACAAAACTTCTAATATTTTATCTTTTCTTACATATTATTATTCCACCACTAATTTTTTTTATTTATAGAAAATTTTCCTTTTGATTATCCAAGTGCATCTTTTGTCATTTGTTTAATAATATTTGTTACTTTATCCCATATAGAATTTGATTCTTCACAAACATCTCAAATCTTGAAATTTTAAAGTTTACCATAAAAATAATTTTATTTATGTTTTTTAGGTTCCTTCATTTAATTCTATGACAATGATTCCTAGATTTCTTTATCTTACAACTCTTCATCTTAAAATACAAAACCAAAAATCGATGTTGAGTACTCAAATTCTCACTTGAAATGACCTTGTAATATTTAAATTCTCAACAATCTCTTTTTCTCATAATAAAATAATCAATTTGTGTTTTATCAGATCAATTCTTATAAGTAATAATATGCTCATCTCTTTTCCGAAAAAAAATATTAACAATAACAAATCATACGTTAAAACAAAATCTAATATAATTATATATTCTTCATTAATCCCAAAACTGTAGCCACCATAAATATTTTTAAAATCTTCTACCACTCTACCAACATGTCCATTTAAATATCCCCAAATAAAAATTCTTTCTTCAAAATATATTATTTATATTAATTCTTCTAGGTCATTCAAGAATTTTTCTCTAGAACCTATATTTAAACCAATTTGAGGAGCATAAACACTTATAATATTAAAAATTTTAGTATTAACAATAATTTTAAGGGCTATAATTCAATCTCTAATTCTTTAATTTTTAAAAAACCATCTTTCAACCTCTTATCTATAATTACACTTACACCATTTCTAGTCTAAAACCTAAGTTATCAATCTCCATGACTTTTTCTCCAAACAATTTAATTTTTTGAATACATAATATATTTATCTTCCTATGAACCATAATATCAACTAATCTCATTAATTTACTTGTGAGAACGCCTATATTCCACAATTTATTTCTAACATTAGTTTCATGGACTAACTTCTTTACCTGCATCAGTCAGAAAAATGAGAACCCTTGCTTATTTGAAACTACACTCAAACGCAGTTACAGTGGCCCCTGCACATTATTCATTGTATTCGGACCATACAACGCGTTATTTTTAGAAGTCGCTCTAGCATTTACACAAAGATCTAAAGGATGTTTTGATTTTTCGACAAATTTTACACTGTTTGTCGACTACCTAACATAACCCTCCACTTTTCACGTCTAGGGCTTGGGACCTGGCAATAAGAGTGTTAATAATGTAAAATTAAACAAGAGAAATAATTTTAATACATGATTCAAAATGCTAAACCACTAATAACATTATGCATATTGATGTTTTATGTCAACATAAGTATTATTAATCATAGACATAACTGATTTAATATAATAAATTTAAACTGAAATGAAAAATTATGGTTATACAACTAAAAGAAAATCCTGAACGTTAAACGACTTAAACAAATGTAAAGTAAGAAGAAATATTTTTGAAGTCTCAAATCATTTAATGCACTATGCTAACCTATAATTGTTTGAAATTACTTTTTTATCTTTATTTTCTTTCTCATTTATATTAATCATAAACTTATGTGTCATATAATATTTGTATTATATTTGTTGGGGCATTAAAAAATTGGAAGATTTACATACATACCACTCAATTCCTATGTATTTACAAATCTAACACCAAAATTTCAAATTTTCCTTACATACCACCTTCCTATGCATGAATATGGGCATTTCACTTCTTGAAAGTTAAAATAGTGGCATTTTTTATGTGATATGAAAGATTTGTGTGGTATAAATGTAAAATGTAAGGTTTAGGTTTTAGATATGTAAATGCATAGGAATTGGGTGGTATGTATGCAAATGTACCTAAAGTATTTATATGTGGTCCGTAACTATATTTAAGGTTGGACTGGATTATTTTAAACTTCTCGCATCCAGAGTCAAGAACCTTTGTTGGCCGCCCTTAAGGCTCACCTTGTCAAAATTTTTGCATCTATGTAGTTCACCATCTATGGTTAATATATCCTATGTAACATGTTATTTTCTTAAATTTTGTTAGTATTATTTTCAAAAGCATTTAAAATTTATTGGCATTGATATACACCTATCATTGATCTACATGGATTAATACGCATTTAAAAAAAAAATACAGTGAAACATATAACAGTCAGCTTCTGAGTACTTAAATTACACATCATATTTTATTAAAAATCTTAAAAGTTGAATTCTATATCATGCATATGTGATCATATAAACATGCAATCGGCTTATTAATACCATTAGAACTTGTTTAATAAAAAAAATTATCTACTCACAAACACATGATAGATCAATGAAGTTATAAAAACTAACAGATATTTGGGCTAATGATAATTTCCGCTCTATATTAGAAATTCAATATCTCGAAGTAATTATAGAATCCTCCACCAAACGGATTTCTTTATTTTTCTCCTTGCAATCAACTTCTTCTGCACGCCGCATGATACAAACATAAACATCCTTGATTTAAAAGAATTCCCAACATAGTAATGCAAATATATATAATTAACCTTAATTTATCATTTTCACCTCAAATAAAGTTCTCTACATCCATGCCTTTAAGCATAACAGCCTGAATACAAACTCGATTTGCAGATGGAAAAACAAAATATTATGTTGTTATCTAAAACCCCAATCTTCCTCATCTTATTAGTCCCTTCTCTCCTTTTTCTTACGTCATCTCCAATCAAACAAACTCTTTGTTAGAGAGTTCTAAAGAGTTATGAAATGGGAATATATGCGTAATGGCAAGAGTTGGTTTAATACATTATATATATATATATATATATATAATGTATAAATATATATATATATACATACATACATGATCAATAAGAAAAGGAAATTAGTTGCTAAAACAAATGGGTTGAGACAGGACTCCTACCCCATCTTGGACGATTAACACTCAGCAGCAGCAGTAGTAACAGATAGTATGTCGGAGCCGATTTTAGACGATGCTAGGCTGCATCAAGCTTCATCATAGGTACCATACATATCCAGTAATGTTAGCCGTCAACAAGGGTGAAATAAGTATTCACTCATGCCATCGCAGTCAAATAAAAACTGATTAAATACCTCACATAATCCCATGGCGAATCCTGTTACCATTCAAAGATAAAACCATTGCACTTCATCATCCTCGTCTTCATCACCCATGGCTTGATTGAGATCAGACTGGTCAGCATTGCAAGAGCGATTCCCAACTCCTGGTATTTCAAACAGTTCACAATTTCCAATATATATGGATGTATCAACATTTTATAGTTTGGAGCTGATTCCCTGTAGGAATTCTTCCAGATAAATATTTACAGGATAAGTTTATGCAGCCTGAATAACGGTTGAACCTTATCAGAAGAATCCATAAATTTGGCAGCTCCATGTCCAACCATGCTGGAATATTTTTATCAAAATTATTTTCACTGAGACTTGGAACATCCAAGTTCTTGCACTGCTGCAGAAATTTTGGTAGTTTTCCAGACAGGTTATTACTACTGAGATCCAACGCCTGTAGCTCAGTCAAAGAGTATACCGAATCACGATTTGCAAGATTAAATAATCTCATAAAGTTTGTGGCAACTTGCCTCTCATCTGATTATTGGAGGAGACCAAAAGCGCTACGTTGGATGATTTGCGCACAAACCATTCAGGCATGGTGTCTGAAATCCCTGCTGCAGCAATGGACAAGCCAATATTTTTTCTCTGCCATAGAAACCAAGTAGGAAATTGAGGACCCAATAAACAATTATTTAGCTTGATCCATAGGAGCTGGAAGGGAGGTGCCCAATCCTCCTTAAAATCTATGCTCGATGAATTATAAGAAATGTCTGATATTTTTAATCTGGTTAGGTTAGCAAAATGAACTTCGGTGATGATACATTCAAAACGGTTGTGTTGCAGAAGAATTGCAGATAAGCTAGACAGCTTCCCTATTCCTTCAGGAATAGGAACCCCCATAAAATTTGCATCAAGAGAAAGGATCTATAATGCTTCATGAACATCTAATACCGTCAATTATGTCACTAACATTGCCCCTAAAGTTGCTATAATCCAACCTCAAAATGTTCAAGTTGCAGAGCTTTGTGAATATTGTTTCTGATACATGTCCTGCAAATTTATTGTGTTCTAGGGCAAGAAAAGAAAGGAAGGTCATGCTTTCCAGAGCATCAGGCATGGCTTCCTGGAATGAATTGTGACCAAGAAACTGAACTGTAAGCTTGGTGGCGTTCGACAGCCATCGGGGTGCAGTGGAACTTAATCTATTTTTCCCTAGAACAGCTTCAAATAGGTTTGAAAAAAAAAACAAATGAGAAGTAGTAGAATCAATGCTATTTAATCCACAATAACTTAATCGTAATACTAAGTCAAGTTGACCGGAGAATGATTGATCTTGCCTCGCAGAGACAAAGAAGAGTAAATAGGGTTATCAAGGTTGAGCTCAAGAATAAGGTAGGTTTTATTGCTGCAGCAAACAATTCCTATCCAACTACAGCAATCCTCACCTTCCCAAGAAGAAGGGCGGCTTTTAGTATCTATAATGCTTGATTTAAAGGCGAGAAGGACCGTGCTCTCCCTCTCAATACAACCATTACTTCCATAGGCAGTAGCAGCAGCTTTGATCAATGCGAGCAAAAGCACCAGTGTGGAAGCATGCGAGTTTAGCATGCTACTGAAGCTTTCTTTTAAGGTTTCTTCATTCCTTGAAAAACCAATCCCAATGTCAACTTTGATTAACAAAATAGAATTCAAACATACTACAAATGGAAAGCGGACGCACAAAATCAAAATGAACAGGACAAATTTCGAAGTTAACTGCATCAGTGACAAAATATCACACCGGTGCAGGCATATGGATCAAAAGAAACGGGGAAAACAGAACTAACCTATGGCAGCGGAGGACTCGACTGGCACATGGACCTCGGATTCATTCTTGTAGACGAGCATGAACCTTGGGGGCGTGAAGAGCTGGTATATGGGGGAGAAGGAGAAGCGGAGACGTCGGTTCAAACTTCAGCGCGACATGTGGGAGGAGGTGCGTGGAAGGGGTCAAATCCCTTTTAGATATCGGCATCGCCGGCGTTCGCTTCCTCCATTTTCCGGCGAGCATCATCTTCTATGTCACCGCCGACCCTTAGACGAGCATATTTGCAGCAGAGTTGGTTCGGCCCAAATCTGCGAACATTTTTTTAGCCTAATAGCTGGGCTCGTCTATTCTGATCTGGCCTTGCTCTGAGCCAAAATTTATATTAATTTTCAAATTATAAATAATCTTTGAGCTAAATTTGTACAGTCATAACATCACAAAACTTATCAACGATCTGATTTCGAGTCAGTTGAAGTCGGCACAAAATCAATCCAAGATAAAAAAATTTGGATAGTAGCTCCGCTCATTCTTTCGATCAGATCTTGATTCGAGCAAAAATTTGAATTAATTTTTGAGCGATTAACGATTTTCAAAGTAAGTTCACAGCCCCACGATTAGTGGAGGGCTGAGGGGTGCCTGCAAGTGCTGCATTGTGTGAGCTCAGTCCCTCCCAAATTCGCGAGTGCCATGAAAATATATATTTCACAAAAAAAAAAAAAAAGATAATTCCTTTTTTAATCAATAATGGTTTCAACAAATTAAATTGAAATTATACGTGCAAGATGCATAATTCGTTATGTTTGTTCATAACTTGCCTCTAATTAATATTTAAACTATGAATCGTTTAAACTAAATTAAGTTCCAATTTGATGAGCTCAATTTATCTAAATTTTGACAAAAGATATATTTATAATTTTAATAAGCTTATTTAGAAGTGTGCACGAGTCAAGTTAAGCTTGAGACATCTTTTACTCGAGCCCAAGTTTAATCGAAACTATTAGCTGATGACCCAACTAATTTATTATACAAAAATAGCAAATGAAACCTTAATCTCCCTTGGTGGGGAGTCAACTAATTTATTATGAGAGGAAAAAAAAATAATATTAATTTAAAATAACTTTATAATATAATAGAAAATGAATTTTAAAAAAATTATGAGATAAATAATAACATATCACTTGTTATAAAATATAAAAAAAAAATCTTTTTTTTTACATTTTTAATTATTTAAAGATAAAGGTTTTTTAAAAGTCTAAAAAAAAATTAAGCGCCAAATTTATGCCTAAAAAATAATAATAATAAATAATCTATGACCCATCTTGAATAAAATATACTCAAATTAATTCCATCCTACAAACAACCCTTTCAAATAGATAAAAAACCAACATTTACATACATGACACTCAATTCCTATGTATTTACATATGAACCCCTAAACTTCAATTTTTAATGTACATACCAATTCACCTTTGCATGAGGTGCATTCCATTTTTTATATGATATGAATGATTTGGGTGATGTAAATGCAAATTTAAAAAAAAAAAAAATGCAAAGTTTAGGTGTTAGATATGTAAAAACATAGGAATTGGGTGGTATACATGTGAATGAGAAAAAATATTACCTCAGGAGTACTGATGTGATGCATCAGTACTCCAATGATGAGGTGTCACGTATGCAATGGTCTCACCGTGACACCACGTGACACCTCACCACTGAAGTACTGATACATCATTACTCATTTTTTTCTGTAAATGCCCCGTAGAGAAGGAAAAGTAGACGAATGGTTATTTGTGCCACAATATCAACCCACCAAATATAGTTTTTTTACCAAAAAAACCATATAATACACAACACGGCAAGTGTTAGAAGCAGACTTCCATCAACTACAAATTGCAGGAAATCAATTCTGGTTCAACACAACAAAGATAACCGCAATTTTTTTTTTTTTTTTTTATTGTTATTATTAATTTTTTTTTTTTAAGAAGAAGCTCTCACCAGACTCCCTCATTTTTTGCCATCACCAAAGAGGTAATCAAGGGAGGAATCTCCGCCTGGAGCAGCATGGACCTTAGTAGAAGGTCGATCCTGCAATGATTAGAATAAAAATGCTTACACATAAATAAAATTTATGTAAAATGACAAAGATGAATAAAATGTTATCTGAAAATAATGCGAAAGTGTAGAAATTTACACAGAAATAACCAAACACAAAAATTTACATGATTCGGTGTTCAGAAAAAAGGGTTATGGGGTTACATCTCAACATTTCTCCTCCACTCCCCTCGTAAGCCGTAAGTCCTTTTTTTATAGAGGAAGACTAGAACATATAAGTAAATAAAGCCAAACACAAAATTGCACCTAAGTAAACAAAAGCCACAAATACAACAATTTCCACATTATCTCTTACTTTCAAATAAGTGAGAAATGATCAAATGAGCTCCAAACTTCAAATCAACAGTACCAAGATGGCTGCCTACGTACCCCCCCTCCCGAAGAGATCAAACATTGCGTAGTTCTTCTAAATGTCCTCCTGGGAAATTAGTCTTGAGCTTGGATGTTCGCCAAATTCATTCAATATGTAAACTTCTGGACTTGTAGTACCTTCGAGAGCATGTCCACTTGATTCTCCTTTGTATCTATCTTCAACATAACATTACCTTCTTCAATTAAGTCCTGAATAAAGCGGTACCTCACATCAATGTACTTGATACAAACATGATGAATTGGATTTGTAACAAAAAATATCGTACTCTGGCTGCCACAAAACACCGTCAGAGACTCCTGATAAACTCTTAAGTCATTCAATAGCCATGTATCCATATTGTTTCTTTCATCGCCTCCATAGTAGACAAAACAACAGAAGACTCTAGAAATGAACTCCAACTGACTGGACGTCCTGCTAATCTAAATAAATAGCTCATCGTAGATCTCCGTCTATCCATATCACCTGCATAGTCCGAGTCAGTGGAGCCTACACACAATTCTGTAATAAATGATTGTCTCCCAAACACCAAGCCAACATCAATTGCACACTTCAAATATCTTAGAATACTTTTCACGACCTGCCAATGATTCATTAATGGATCATGCATAAATCTGCTCACAACACAATCTGCTTGTGCAATATCTAGTATAGTACAAATCATGACATACATCAGACTGCTTATTACACCATCATAAGAAATGGATCACATATCTTTTCTTTCCTGGTCATCCTGACACTGTTCTGAACTAAACTGAAAGTGAGATAAAATAGATATACTCACTATCTTACTCGAGCCATCAACCCCACATTTCTTTAGCAGCTTCCGACCACAGGCTCCTTGAGAGAGTCAAACATTTCCAACTGTCTTATCTCTAAGAATCTCCATGCCAAAATTCCTGTGAGCATCACCCGACTCTTCCATTTCGAAATGTTTGGATAGTTGATTTATCATCCTGTCAACCTCAATCTGACTAGTAGATTCAATCCACATATTATCAAGATAAAAACAAATAAATGAACTCACCTTTAGCCAACATCTTGAAATATGCACAATGGTCATACTGGTTTCTCGTGTACTATTGTTTCCTCATGAACTGATCAATTTTTTTAGACCATTGTCGTGGCGACTACTTCAAACCATATAAAGGCTTGTTCAGTTTGCAAACCAAATCTTTTGATGCTCTATATCCAGACGGCTTCAACATGTAGATCTCATGCAATTCTCTGTATAGAAATACAGTCTTCACATTGAGTTATTTCAAGATTAGATTGTACTGTGCTACAAGTGCTGAGAGAACACGCATTAAGAAATGTTTGACCACTGGGGAGAATACTTCATTATAATCAATCACTTGTCGTTGCACAAAATTTTTGCCACTAATCTTGTCTTGTATCGCACATCAGCTCCATGAGAACCTGCTTTCTTTGCATACACCCATTTGCACCCAATAATTTTCCTTCCTCGAGAAAGTTTCATCAACCTCCAAGTACCATTCTTCCGAAGAGACTTTATCTCTTCATTTATTGTCATTCCACAAAGATCACGGTCCAGGTTCTCCATCGCTTCTTTGTAGTGATAAATAATTTATGACTCTGTGGCTGAAAGTGCAAATGCAATGTGATTCCTCGACCAAGCTGGTTTTGGATCATTCTGGCATCTAGTCCTGCTCCTAGCGATAGATGCTTGAGCAATAATATCATCATCAACATGTTATTCCACCTCCCGAGCACTATAAACATATATCTTCTGAGCTGCAACTGAATCAAATATCTAGGTCGAAGTGGACAAACTCTGTAGAATAAATGAAGTTGCATCAAACTCCAACTTCTATTGCATATTTGTAGTCCCATTAAAACTCTCCAACTGCTTTTGAGTCTTAATTTTCTAACAAGCTTGCCTCATTGAATGTAACATCCTTGTTAATGACAACCTTTCTTTCTGACTAGTCATATAGCTTGAAGACCTTGACTCCACGTCTGAAGCTAATTAATCTCGTCTTCTTTGTTCATGGTTCTAGTTTATCATTTTGCACATGGTAGTAAGTTGAACACCTAAACACTTGCGTGCTTATAATCTCTAGCAGGATGTCCTGACCACGTCTCCTTTGGGGTCTTCTTCCCAATAGTTGCTGAAGAGAGACAATTCACTAAGTGACAGACATATTCATGGCCTCAGCCCAATTGATTCTATCCAAACCAGCATTTGGGTAAAATACATCGAACTTTCTCCACCAAAGTCTGATTCCCCGTTCTGCTATGACGACTCTCAAACATTGAAGTTGTGCTCTATCTCAACTCTCTGACACACTTGCAAGAATATTTCCAAAGCGTATTTGCCCCCATTATCTAATCTGATACACCAGATCTTTTGACGAGTCTGAGTCTTAATTCACTTCTTCCAAGTTATCAAAATCTCCAGCACTTTGTTTTTGCGCTTCATAGAGTACACCCAAATATATCTGGAGTAACCATTAATAAAAGACAAAGTATGTTCGCTCGCTAAATGATGTTGTCTTTGTCGAACCCCAAACATATGTGTGAACATACTCTAAAATATCTTTATACTGTAGATGACAGTCTCAAAAGTACCTGCATCTTCTTGTCAAAAACATAATATTCGCAGAAATCTAGCTCGCAGGTGTTTGCTCATTTAATCAATCATTTCTTCACCAAAGCCTGAAGTGAAGTCTCTCGAGCATGAGCTTGCCACATATGTCACAATAGGGGTGTCAAAAAAATTATCAACAACAACAGTCATTTCAGTCACTGTACTATCCTGAAGATAATAAAGATTGTAATGGCGAACTCTTTTCATAAAAATCATTGCTCCATGATATATCCTCAGAACGTCTGTCTCAATAACTACCTTATAACCCTTGGACTCTAAAGCCCCAACTGACAGCAAATTCTTCTTGATATCTAGAATATGTTTACCATCAGTCAGCTTCCTCACAGTATCATCATGCATCACGATAAATATACCCTCTACACTAATAGTATGACAAGCTTGATTGTTGCTCATAGTCACTACACCGCTATCCAACTCCTTGTATGTACAGAAGCACCGTCGATGGGGACAAATGTTATAGGTAGCACATGTATCTAGAATCTAGCATGAATCATCTATAAATAAACTATGAGAAAGTGCAATAACGATACATCTGAATCTGCACTTCTTATCTTTTCAACAATAGCGTTGAATTTCGCCTTTGATGCAGTTTTCATTCACTTTCATTTCAACTCCGAACAATCTTTCTTCCAATGACTAGTCTATAAACATAAAACACAGTGATTTTTTCCAAAACTGCGCGCACAAGAATTACCACGCTTTTGAGAAGTGTCACTGATGCTACCTTTCTTTAACAAATTCCTATTTTTAGATCCGCCACGTTGAAGTGTAAGAACCTTAACTGATTTCATCTTTGTGGACTCCTTATCCCTTCGACGTAACTCGTGATTTAACAATGTGAGCCACTTCGTCATAATTCAAGATCACATTTCCATAAACGAGTGTCATAGAGAAGTTCTCATACAAATATGGGAGCAAATTCAAGAGAAGAAGCATATTGTTTTCATCTCCAACCTCCTGATCCAAATTTAATAGATATGCCAATAGTTTAGTGAATTAATTCAAGTGCTCATTAATAGTAACCCGTCTCATCTGAAATCTGTAGAGTTGACGTTTCACATGGAGATGGTTCTCCACGCTCTTTGTAAGATATTTGTTCTCAAACATCCTCCAAAACTCTTTGCAGAAGTCTTCATCATCAACCTATATTTGATTTCCAAAATCAAGCAATTTCGTATCAAGTCACAAGTAATCTCGTTCATCTTCAACCAATCTCTCTTTAACATCACTTCAGGACATTTCTCGCTATCTAGGACTCATCTAGATTCAGAAAACACAGCGCATCCATCACATCGTATTGTCACATGCCAAAATTTCCTGTCATCAAATTTCGTCACATCAAATTTTGACAGGATGGGTAACAACCAGATGAATTGACTTTTCTATTGTTATAGTGATCGTTGAATAACTTGAACACCGTGTTATGGTTCATTGTTTCCACAGTTCAAATTACTTTTCCCAAAAAAAAATTCCTTTCACATAATATTTTTCTCCCCTCAGACGTGTGCAACTTCCTTTTTAATCCTTGGGAAACTTTCCTACAAATCTCTTTCGCTTGCTTCAGAATAAAAAATTTCCTTCGCAGCAGGAAAGAAATTTTTTTTGTCTCGCCCGAACAAGCCGAAGCAAGGGAATTTTCTTTCGGCCTCCGGACCTCGCCGAAACCACCCCAGTTTGCCGCTCAAAACGTAGTTGGAACAACACCCACCGGATGGACTTCTCAAGCACGCCTCTGCCACCAGACTATCTCTGGAACCACCGACTCTGTCTGCAAAGCATGCCAAACCATTTGTTGCAAAAATACCGGCAACACACACTGGATTTGTTGTCGCCAACGTCGAACCACGAACCTAGATCTGACACCAATTGTTATGCGAAAATAATGTAGAAGCGTATAAATTCACACAATGGCAATCAAACACAAAAATTAACGTGTTCGACATTAAGTCGATTCAATTAAGTCAACGGGGAGGAAGATTCCACTAGCAACGAATGGGAAAAAAAAAAACGCTTGAGGTTACGACTCCACACTTCTCCTCCACTCCTCTCATAAGCCTTAAATCCTTTTTTATAGAAAAAAACTGGGGCATACAAGTAAATAAAGCTAAAAGATAAAATTACCCCTAATTATGAAAAAACCATAAATACAACATGAACTTCAATTCACAAAAGTAACTCAAAATAGATTAAAAGAGATGTGAAATGTGACAATTAGTGATTCTAAAAATACAAAGCATGATTGGTAGATATGCATCAAATGTTGAACATCTATTTACACAGAATTTTGGGAGACACGTGTCCCCCAAAATTTATAGGATTTTTTTTCTGTATTATTTATTTAAAATTTTTAAAAATATGTAGTTTATGTTCTCTATAAATTTTTCAAAATAAATAATTGTGCTGCAGATTAAAAAAAAATTCACCACACCACCCCGCAACACCAAAAAAGCAAATTTTAGAATTGAAATATGTTAGAAAGACATAAACTAATTAATTTTCATCATTTTTTTTTTAAATGTGCAGTGAGGGTATTTCAATTTTTTTGGTTAGGATGATTTTCAAATCCACTAAATTTACTCATAGATTAATTCAATACAAACTCTGATTCATCCACACATGTACTGCACTTATCTCAAAATAAATCCAATGGCTTTGAGACCTATGTTCATATCCTACTACAAGATTTTCCTTGTGGTTAAAATCAATGAAGATTTACACACATACCAATCAATTCTTATGTACAATTCTTATGTATTTAATCAATTCTTATGTATTTACATATCTAACGCCTAAATGTCAATTTTTACATATGTCACATTACCCAAGCATGAAAAGGTGTATCTCACTTTTTACGAGTTCGGTAATTTTTATGTGTGACATGAATGATTTGGTTTTTATAAATGTAAAAAGCAAAATTGAGATGTTATATATGAAAAAATATAAAGATTGGGCAATATATATGTAAATGCCTCAAGAATCAAATCCTCCCTACATTAAATTCATATTTCAACGCTCAAACTTCCTAATAAGAAAAAAGAAAAGAAAAAAGAAAAGAAAAGAAAAGAAAAGATGACAATAATGAAAGCTGCAGAAAAAAGTTAAGAAAACTAGTGAAGTATATGGATGCACATACTGTGATAAAATTCCCAGTGTTTTGGCCATCTGCTCGGAAGTAATTGTTTGTAGTGTGTCCAGTAATGCCTGCAGGAACCTGCTTGCTATTGTCGACTACTGCCGGAATAGGCTTGGGATTAGGGTTAGGACTATCACCGGTAGGTTTCGAAGGTTCGCCGCCACCAAAAAGGTAGCCCAAAGAACTCTGGCCGCCTCCGCTGCTGACTCCACGACCCATTCTTCTCCAAACTAGATAGTCAGATCAAAGTCGACGCGAGCTTGTTAGTATTCTTATCAAAAGCTTAAATATTTTTTAATTTTTTTTATTTATGTACAAGAAGAAACGACAACTAGTAAAGAGATAAGTGTTAAAATTATCCTGACTCTTTGCAGGAGGTTATTTTAGTCTCAAATTCAATAAAAGTGCTAATTTAGTCCACATACCCATTTAAAATGAGTTGGAGACTAATTTGATACTTTATAAACTCCAAGACTAAAAAGGCCTCATGTAAAGAGATACAACAACAACAACAAAACCTTAATCCCACTACGTAGGGTAGGCTACATGAATTGTTTTTCTCCATTGCGTCCCATTTAGTGTCATATTTCACTTTAATTCTAATAAATTAAGATCATTTTTATACAATAAGCCCAAGTTTCAATAAGCCCAAGTTTTCCTAGA